AGCCCAATGCAGCCGTTTATATATCAATATCAAATCATTTTTGGGTAACAACTAAGTAACTTACTGTAAAAATAGATTTCCATTAAAATGGGCAAAAATAGCTTTTTAGCAAAATAACTATTTCTCAAGCAAGAATTTTGCTAGGACCGTCTGGGAGTGGTCTGAGTGGGGCTTTAGAGGGAAACTGAAAACTAGCTGTTATTGGCAGAGAGGTTTGGAACTCACTTTTTTATTGCATGGTGATGTCACCATGGAAAGCTGAAACTCCTGCCCATGCAAACCTGCTTGTTAGAATGTTCCTTTGTAGATTGTAATTTCAACCAGCAACTATGAGGAAATAACACTGATAACATTTGTTCACACTTTTATAGTGTTAGTTTAATCAGCTGTTGTACGATATCATACAAAACACAGGAAAAACTGCATTTCTACTGCAATGAACTCTGGCATGCGTGAGCTGTAGGCTACTGTTCTGTTCCAGTTTCAATAATCACATTCAATAAGCGCTAAATTAATTCACAGTCCCCCAGACCCCTACACACAAACAGGCGGTGCAGCCTCTGAAGCACCTTATCATAATTAGGCTATTAGTGATTCCATTAGAAAACTGAAAAAGTATGATAATGATGTTAGCGTTGTCCTGGCAACGCCATGGCTTTTCGTGACTATAAAACAGCTTTGAGGGGCGGTATGATTTTGCGGTGTGCATCAGGTTGGGAGAGAGGTTACACCAAACCTGCTCCTGAACAGATAATGCTTCGTGTCCAACATACATAAAACCGTTATTCTATCAGTTTAGTCATCATGTTGAAACTTCCGGAGAAGTCCAGCGGACAAACAGGCACCAGAATCCTCCTCGAGGCCATGTCGAACGATAAGGTCCACTTGGCGAGGTTCATTCTCGACGCACTGGATGGGAAAATCATCGACTCCAAAACAGAGGGCGCGCAGACCCCTCTCATCTCATCTGTTCTGCTCCCCGAATGTCAGACCAGGTCCAAATTCATAGAGCTGCTTCTCCATAGGGGCGCCAGCGTCAATTGTCAAGACGAGAGCGGCCGCACTGCGCTCAGTTACGCATGTGAAAAAGGTTACCTTGACGCGGTGAAGATTTTGGTTAGAAACAACGCAGATCCAGAGATGGTTGACTCGTGGGGGAACACTGCGCTGATGTATGCGGCAGTGGCTGGTCACTCACCGGTCGTTGCGTTCTTGGTGAGAGCCTTCAAGAGACTGGGGCTTCAGATAGACCGACAGAATAAAGTTGGTAACTCGGCAGTGGAGGTGGCAAAGTTTCTCGGCCACACAGACTGTTTTTATGCGCTCACCAGTAACTCAAAGAAAACCCGTGAAAACGACGTTGGGGGTCAGAAAGATGGTCCTTCCCACGTCAGCTCGGATTGTAACGTAAATGAGGAGAAGTTGGAGAGAAAGTTATTAGATCCCATTAAGATACCAGACGTTCTCCAGGCGTGTCCCCAAAGCGACAGTTTAACAGCAGTAGACGGGACATGGCTCCTGAGGCGTTCGGGTCGCAGAAGAAATTCTCTGATCTTAAAGAGTCGATTACAGTCAATGGATTCCATTGAGGAGTTTGAGAGAGAGATTGACATCCCCACATTCCCACAGGAGCTGGTTTTCTCGGGTGTCCTCACCCCCAAACCCCCTCCTCGATCTAACAAACTCCAGACCTGCCCAAAACCGAAAACCATCACCAAACCTTGGGAAAAATTGACCAGCTCTGACAATCACCTGCCTCCTCTTACCAGAGGATCTGAGCATCACATGTCGGTTCTATATTCGCCCCGGCCGGCCAAAAACAACCTCAAAACCACCAAAAGCTGCGCGTCAATATCTGCACCAATAGCCTCTTCGTCCTCTCGTCTTGGTATCCTACTGACTCCTATCACAGGCAACAAAGGCAAAGACGAATGGGATAATGACAAACTGAAAACAGCACCTGACTTTAGTGTGAGGAGATTTGACGACAGCTACTACCAGAAAAGGTGCAGTTTGCCCACAAGCATCCTCAGTCCTGCACCTCCTGACCGTTCGAAAATGCCTTTAAGCGAAACCAAAACTACGTGGAGAAACGTTTTACCGACGGCCAACACCGAAATTCCAGATTTTACACCACCTGTTGCCAGCTCCTCTTCGACGTTCACGGTATTGGGCAACAAACTGTTTCGGAGGTTTACATTCCCCGCGTTTAAACAGAGCGGGAAGGAGGCGCAGGAGGGCGCGTGTGGAGGAGATCCCGCCTCAGGTTCACCGCGAGGGATGCCGCGTTCAGAGACGTTCCCGCTGAGCACGAGACACCCACAGGTGGGTAACAAGCCCAGCATAGACAGTATCAGTGCAGTGAAGTGCGAGTTTGACTTCAATTTTAAAACGGCCCATTCTTCTTAAACAGTATTTCTCTGTGCATCATGCGTAATAGCCAAATGTCCTTTTGGAGAGCCGCAGTGTGTGCAGGCTTTTATTCCCAGTACTTTTATTTCAGAACTACTAACACACTTTATTAAACTTAGAATTGTGATTCTAGATTGAGGACTATAGGAGATTAGTTGAATCAGGTGTGTCAGTTATGTCTTGGGCTGGAACAAATACCTGTACACACTGCAGCTATTCAGGAGCCCTCTTGTATAGTGTTGGGAAGGGGGCGGGACAAACGCAAAGGCATATCCACGAGGAAGCCTCGAGCAGCACAAAGAGGATTCCTGTGCTACTGTAAAGATTATGTACATTTACTTTGAATAACAAACGCCATCACTTGCATAGCTATTCATATCGGTTGTGAAATATCAATACTAGACATGTCATTTCTTTAAATTGTTGTCATGGATTGCATTTCTATTTGTTATATTCTTGAATTGTGAAACATTAAGATTAATGAATAAATCATCGTTGGTATTTAAAAATTGTAATTGTTTGTATTGTTTGGAGGAGGAGAGAGTGTGTGTGTATTTCCTTAATGTCAGGCTTCTTGGTAAGTTATGAACCCTTCACATAACCTTGACGTTAGAATACTGGGTCATTCTGTAAAGTCTACTGAGAAAGCTATCACATTTACAGTGCGTTATAGTTATAGTTTTTTCATTTATTATTTTTGATTGCCTATGTTTGTGAAGGAATGGGGGGGTAAAGGTGACATAAGTATAGAGGTGTCACAGCTGTAACGGTTGACAGACATTTTTGACTTTGTCAGCTATTATTTTCTGAGTGCGTTGCATACACTGACAATGTCCACTATTGCCAAATTACAAGAGATATAACATCATCTGACACATCACACATAGTCATTCGTGTCGTGTGTTTACTAACGTTTAAAATCATTAGAATCATAGACACACAAAAGTCAAGGGGTATGTATTTAAATTGTAGTATACACAATATCTATGACACTCGCACACACGCACTGTGCTGTGTCCTCACGACTGAGTTCACACACTGCGCTGTGTGTGAGGGAGGGCACGTCGCCATACTGCAATCCACGCACGCACGTCCCCCCCCCCCCCCCCCCCTCACCACATACACACTCTCACACACACCTCAGCTGCAATCACAGAGATGGAAACAGCAGCAATCCGGGACTGACTAGCTGTGGTTGCTGCTGCGAAGCTTTTTGAAGGAAACGAACTTCGGTAGAGAAACTGAACTTCCTCCCCTGGTGAATCGCCTGAGTCACGCAGAGCGTCGTTTCCGGCTCCCTGACTGTCTTAGTATGTGCAGGGGAAACTCTGCCTCTCCGCAGGTGACGCTCACCAAAAGCTCTCTCATTGTCTGAATTTAGAGAGAGGAGAGAGTATTGAGCTGTACAATGCGTTCAGACAGCGTTAACAAAACAACCGTGGCATTTTAATACGCAGCAAACCAGATGCTCTCTCACATTCACCTGGAGATTTGCTGCATTTGCGATGATATAAGCGTGACTACCAGACACTGAGCAGCGGTATCCCTCCTCTCTCTCTTTCTTTCTTTCTCTCTCCCGCTCTCTCTTTTTTATTTCTCTCTCTCTCTCTTTCTCTCTCGGCGGGTTCACTACAAGTCTACCAGCCAGGTAGCCATTTCAGCAGTACAATGGAGCGGCTCAGATTTAGCACCTTGGACAGCGCTGGAGTTATACTGTGTTTGTTCGGTAAGCGGCGTCGGTGTGTGTGTGTGTGTGTGTGTGTGTGTGTGTGTGTGTGTGTGTGGCATACGATATTTCGGTCGTGACTGCACACTGCAGCCTGCGTGTCTGTCCGTCTGTCTTTGTGTGTGTGCGCGCGCATATGTGTGTGTGTGTGTGTGTGTGTGTGTGTGTGTGTGTGAGACAGATAGAGAGAGCGATAAATTCCTGTTGAGTTTGTGCGTAGCAGCACAGCCAGCTGTTTTCACGTCAGTGCAGTGAAAAGCGCTTTTTTTTTAAAAAAAGAGTCAAATGCAAGTCATTATTAGAACATGTTGTATTAGACTCGCCGCTATGGGCATCCCTATGTGCTGCCCATGTTGCTAAGGCATGCAGTGGACAAGTAACTCACTCACTTGAGATCGATGAAGTATCTTACAACCGTGTCATGTAGCTGTGTATTGTTTTACATCTGAGTGGGAAAATATACTCAAGAGAAGATCAGCTATATGATCGGCCCCTTGTCTTTTGGGAGAAGATAAGTCCCTTTGAGTCTAATCTTTGAGTCTTTGGGCTCCCTGGTTTTGCTGATCATGCATGTTTGCATATCATGCGCTGATTATTCAGTTTGCAACATCATTGACAGTAAAACACATTCCTATCAACCATCATTGACAGTAAAACACATTCCTATCAACCATCATTGACTGAAAATAAAGTAGTTAATTATTCTATTTTCTACAGATTATATTTTATTATATTCCATCTGCTGCCCTCACATGTTTTAAGCATATTCATTGCAATATAGTTGGCGCTAGAAAACTGTAATTGATTTGCCACTCTATTCCAACTGAACTCTACACTGCTGACATGACTCTATATCTCCCCGTGTTCAGGGATCCTGGTCAGGTTTACTGTCACGGCCGAGCAGGAGGGAGAGAACCTCTCCGGTCTGTCCACCAACCCGGACAAAGACATCTTCGTGGTCCGAGAAAACGGGACCACCTGCCTCATGGTCGAGTTCGCTGTCCGCTTCACGGTCCCCTTCGATGTCCTCGCGCTCAACGGGATAGATGTAAGACACGACTCAGATATTTGATGGCTCAGTATATTTGTAGAATGTTACTTGAACATTGTACATTCAAAGTAAAAGTCAAGATTGCATATAAAACTGTATAGATAATACAGTTAGAATAGCCCTACTTTTTATGACACTTTACCCTCCGGACCTAGCCTACTGATGGGAATGTGTAGGTGGACAGAACCTGTCAGACTTCGTCTATCAACTTGAACTGACAGTGACACACTGTCACATTGCTGTATGTACGAATTTGCTCTCATTCAGACACACATGGGACACCCATGCCACCGCACTGTGGGCTGTGCGTAAAATGATGTGCTGATCTTTTGGAAACACTGTACTGGGCTGTAGCAACAGCGTGCCAGTGTGAAACAAGTCATAGAAGAGTAGTCTACTGAGAATAAAACAAGTGTATGATCGACACAATCAATCATACACTACTGAATTATCTGTTCTGTTCTTTACAGCTGATCACGGAGAATGCGTATCTGTCTCTGCCTCGCGGGGCAGACATAGAGGGGAAATGCGGGAGCCAGGACGCCCATATACACATCTCGTGGAATGATAACGCCTACACACTCCGCATCTACTTCGTCAAGGTTTGTCCCCTACTATGTAACAGTCAGTCTTCAAGCCGAGGCGAATTACAATTACCCAAAATCATTAAGTGCGTTTACCCGCTGTGGAATTCTTGTAAAAATCTGTTTGGGTAACAACGCCTACACATAACAGCCACGCATAATGTTCTGCTGCTGGTGATGATTTGGTTAAAAAAAACTCCTATTGGAAAGCAGGGAATGACCGTATGTGTGTGTGTGTGTGTGTGTGTGTGTGTGTGTGTGTGTGTGTGTGTGTGTGTGTGTGTGTTGCAGGAAACCAGTGGCAAGGGAGATGATGTGTGGAAGATTAACAAGGTTCAGTTCGTCTATGACACCTCGGAGAAAACGCATTTCCTCAACACATACAACCGTGAGTAGCAATTGTAACCCACTCAGCAATTTTTAGCGATATGGTTTCATTGAAAAATTATTTCACATTTGCACTAAACTGATACAATAAAGAAAGACAATTCACGTGGGCCTTTGGATATTTCCAAATTGTATTTGTATTTTTTCAGTTTTCTTTCTACAAAACATTATTATTATTATTATTATTATTATTATTATTATGTTCCTTTTTAATATTTGTTTTCGTCACTTCTGATTTATTTCAGTCATTTCGATTAGATCTATTATAAGCTAATTAATTTGATCGCCTTCATTACTTATTGAGAAGCATTACTTATTGAGAAGCATTGATTATACATTAAATCAAAATTTCTAATATAGGCTACATTCACGTAGCCTACCCCGACTGCACCGTTTTTGGATTCAATATTAATCCACATATTAAAACTCATGATGGGACAGGCTGGGGGGAAGTTGAAAACAGAATAATTGAAAGCGAACATACCATTTTTTGCTGGATAAAAAAAGTACTTCTGATTTCCATCGATGGGTCTAAAGCACGTTTTGATTATGCTGTAGGTCGCCTCTTTTCTGTACACCCTATTGGTGTGTGTCTGCCGCAGTGTTCGTTTTATGTGTTTCTATAAACAAAGGGATTCCTATAACCCTTATACAAAGAGGTTTTATACTTAAGAGGTTTTAACATTTCAATACTTATTCCTAAATCTTTCCTAAATCTTTGCTGAATACATATACTTTTATTTCGATATTGTGTAGCCTATAGGCCTACACATCTATTTTACCTACTTCTATTCATGTTGTGTTTTTGTGTTTCTCTGTATGAAATGCATGCTTGTGTGTGTGTGTGTGTGCATGCCTGCATTTTCTGTTTGTACCTACCTACTCAGATAGTATCTCTTCTCATGTACTGTGTACTCCTATCCCCTCTCCCATACAGCTGGGAAGCACACAGCCAGCTCCCACCATTTGTCAGCGTTAGAGACCCCTGCTGGCCGGTCATATGTCTGCGAGGCTAAGCAGACACTCACCCTCATCTCCAGTGACCACCAGAAGGGAGTGACTGTTGCCATAAGTGACGTCCAGATCCAGCCCTTCGACATCAACTCAGACTTCATATTCAGTGAAGGTACAGAATCTAACCCTAACGTCATACAGCCATGTTCAGTGAAAATACAGAATCTAACCCTAACGTCATACAGCCATGTTCAGTGAAGGTACAGAATCTAACCCTAATGTCATACAGCCATGTTCGGTGAAGGTACATAATCTAACCCTAACGTCATACAGCCATGTTCAGTGAAGGTACAGAATCTAACCCTAACGTCATACAGCCATGTTCCGTGAAGATACAGACTCTAACCCTAACGTCATACAGCCATGTTCAGTGAAGGTACAGAATCTAACCCTAACGTCATACAGCCATGTTCAGTGAAGGTACAGAATCTAACCCTAACGTCATACAGCCATGTTCAGTGAAGGTACAGAATCTAACCCTAACGTCATACAGCCATGTTCAGTGAAGCTACAGAATCTAACCCTAATGTCATACAGCCATGTTCAGTGAAGGTACAGAATCTAACCCTAACGTCATACAGCCATGTTCAGTGAAGGTACAGAATCTAACCCTAACGTCATACAGCCATGTTCAGTGAAGATACAGACAGAACAACAACCTACAGTAGTACTCCCCTCAATTTGCAAATGTTTCACACATGTCAAATGTAAGGCCCAGTATCAAAAAGGTTGTCATCTTGAGGAGAGATCTGACACTAGTGATGATGAGAGATTGCCGTAAAGTAGTATTGGAGAAGTTATCGCACAACCCCTACCAACTGCACTTTCCCTGCTCCCTTCATCTCCCTCTCCCTCACCCCTTCTCTCTCTCTGGGGGCTGGGGAGTGTTACTGCAGATTGAAGAGCAGAGCTGCAGAGAGGGATGGAGGGAGGAGGAGAGAGAGGAAAGAGAGAGATAGAGGACAAAGTGAGAGAGGTCATTAGGACTTTATTGCTGTAGTTATATCCCTGTCCTCAATGCAGACTTTACGACTGTAGTCATATACTGTGACCTCTAAAGGCGATCATGCTTCTCTCTCTGGACTGCAGTAAACTAGATTGTTTTTTGCTACAGTGCCCTTCAACTATAGTGTTTATTAACCCTTGGTATACAGAGGCTTTTCATCTGGTACATATTAACCTTTGACACATTCACATTCTGTAAGATCTGCTAACCACCAGAGAGCGGTCCACCAATGATAACGTAAACAATCGAGTAAATACATCCTATGATCCAGGACATAAGGTCATAGTAAAGTACATGTAAACAATACATATCGCTTAGCTAATATGAGCAAAACTATTTTAAGGCCCTGACTGCCCTTAAATGTGACCCTTTCTAATTTAGAGACCAGTGAGACTCTGTTTCTGGGACATTTTGACCTCATATAATTAAATGTTGACCTTTGACCTGATACTAATCAGTGATGTCACGTTAAGGCTCTCTCACAGAGGAGAACCTTCTCACTGTGGGGATGGGAAAAAATTATGGGACGTGACTGACCAGAAAACCCATGTTTAATTTCCCAATCAGTTAAAGTTAAGGTTAGGGTTTAGAGTTTAGTGTTGCAGGCCAGTCATGTAGCTTTAGTTGCACATGTGTGGATATAACTGTGTGTGTGTGTGTGTGTGTGTGTGTGTGTGTGTGTGTAGGGGTATGTAGCATGTGTTTGAATGCTCTGTTGAGCTCATTTGACAGATGAACACGTCAGTAACAGTTGATTTAATGCAAGGCCTTGGCATGCAACAGACAGCCAGACAGACAAACACGCACACACACACACACAGTTATAATCTATTCACACATGAATGTGGTGTGTGTGTGTGTCTCCCTACAGCCTATAAGTGCATCACGGACCAGAGAGAACAGCTGGAGGAGACTCTTCCTCTGATCCTGGGCTTCATCCTGGGCCTCATCATCGTCATCACACTGTCCGTCTACCATTTCCACCTCAAACTGACCGCTGCCACCCAGTCTCAGCTGCCCTGCGACCGATCCATGTACAAGAACATGTAAGGAACAGGACATTAAAATAGCCACTATACCACAAATCTCCATTGTCAAGAGGAATATGTAAGGAATCAGATATTATCACCACAATAGCACAACTCCATGTTCAAGGTAATAGAACATTGAAAAAAGCACAACATGATGTTCAAGACATTACAACCACTATACTGTAAAAACAAGACAACATAACCACTCACCATTCAAGGATTGGACATTAGAACAATGATCATTGACTACAATTATAACCACAACGCTCCTGCCTCTCCAAAGTCAAACCAACGTGACTTCCCCTGCTCTGAACTTCACCATACATTGGAGAGTAGGTCGGAACTTAAAGGAGGCCTAACTTGCGATATGGCTAACTTGAGATACGCTTTTGCGTAAAACCATGCATTGAAGCCAATTGGAGACTTGCGCAACATTCAATTTATGAACAGAGATGTTTCAGTTAACATTCCACCCATCGGTGTTCTGTTGTTTATATATGTCCAGAAATCCTGGTTATGTCAAGAAGTCTGCGCTTTGTCATTCCCCATCACTTGTCTCGCTCTGTCTTTTCTGTAAACGCGCCGCAAAAGAAACCTCGCAGGTGGCAGGTCCAGAGTTGATGTTCGGCTGAAGTTTTTTACTTTCCCAAATCCAGTTTTTCCTTTTCGTTTTTTAAATGCAATCATAGTTGTGAAAGTGGAGAGTGTTGTGGTGTTTCAACGACCTTCAGAAATCATGAAAAATTAATAATTGCAGGCAGTGTATTTACTTTGGTTTGATGGATCCTTTTCCAGATCCCATTTTATGGAATTATATCAAGAAAAAATATGAAATATGTAAATAAAACAAATAAAACTTGTTCTCTAAAAAACTTGCAAAGAAAATATTTAATAATTTATCTCATATCAGAATGTCAGAAGAAGAAGTGTATCATTGTGAAAGAAATGTGCAAAGATATTTAAGATTTAAAAATAATAAATGTAAAATATTTTCAGAAAGAACTATGCTGATGCAAACTTTAATGTTCACTGAAATAAATTTCATAGGAGATATCCTAAACCTGCGTAGGTCTGTTTTTCATGTTGTCTTGTGTATGCCCCTATAAAACTGGTTAGCTATACCTTTGGACAACTTTCATTCGCTCTGGTTGTTGGATAGGTAGGCCTATTGTAAAATATATTTCAGTAGCCTGTTTTTCAGACTTCAGTAGCCCTATGTTACAGAACATGAGAACAAAACATGAAACATTGTCGCACTAAATGGACTTAAAATCTGAAAGAGATGGGTTACATTTATAATCCTCATTGAAGTCCCAACAATGAGTCCTCCAGGGGAGCGGCTGAGAGCTGCGACTGAGCCCGGGTGATCAATGCTCCTGTAGGGCGTGGCATGGCCCAATCATCGAGGCGGAGATGGAGTATTGATCTCTTCGTTTGACTCTGGGCCTTCAGAGGAGACGCGATATGAGCAAGTCAAATTGAAAATAAATGGAGCATCCGTGACATCCACACCTCTTTGTTCGAACACCACAGACATCATCATGAATCATGTCATCAAACTCAAAACCCTTACCTGGTGTCCGTTTCGCTCTGAAGTCCCATCTATCCTTAGTTTGACACTTTGCACAGACTGAATGAATGAAATTTTATTTTATGAATTAATGAATCCCTTATTGGATTAATTGACACATAAACAAACATTGTGATCATTCAGTGATAATTATTCTTCCGGTGTTTTCTGCAGTGCGCATCGCATGAAGAGTGAAAAAAAGTAATAATAATAATAAAATAAAAATCTATACATAATACATAGTACATAAGGTTATCCAAAAAATAATTATAAATACATAAAAATGAAACAGAAGGCATTTGAAACCAGTCTGGCACAAAGAGAAGATTACGTGGGAGACAGGCCTACGCACAGACTGTTAAAATGACCTGTTAGGCATACCCTTTTTAGCAGTGAGAAACAAACAAAGCCTATACAGAATCCATTGTCTTTCTACTGTTTTATGGGTGACAGTTGAAGGGGGGAATTAGCGTGGGTGGTTATCTGGTTGGTCTGGTGGTGTACAATCAGGCCCAGAGTCACAGTGGGCCTAGTTTGGTTCACTACTCATTTATTTACAGCCTCTGGTTAAGGTGTCTTCCTGTGAAAGACGAGTTTTATTATCCTGGGTCAAACCAATTGAATATCCTATTATAGTTCCACACAGGAACAGAGTTAGGAGAAGAGAAAAGCCATGGCCTCATATATTGTCTAGTCATGTGATGTGTATGTGTATCTTTCGGTTCCTTTATTTCAGGGGTGTCAAACTCATTCCATGGAGGGCCTAGTGTCTGCGGGTTTTTGGTTTTTCCTTTCAGTTAAGACAACCAGGTGAGGGGAGTTCCTTACGAATTAGTGACCTTAATGAATCAATCAAGTACAAGGGTGGAGCGAAAACCTGCAGACTCTCGGACATCCGTGGAATGAGTTTGACACGTGCTTTAGTTGTTTTAGCTACAGAGGCAAGGCTATTGTTGATACACCAGTGTCCGCTGAAGTGTCCCGCTAAACATTATTAGGCCAACACTGGAGAATGTTTAGGGTCATATTCAATTTAAAATCCATGGTTTGGTGTTATCAGGGATGTACAAAAAACATAATTCTTGTTAATCTGTAGTGTGGACAATGTGGGATGTAGCCTAAACAACTAGCGGCGATGGGAGATTTCAGCAACATGGACAGTGATGAATTGGGAACCTCGAGATCTGAAGTTCAGAACCATAGGATAGTGGACAGACATGTAGCTGCAACGCCAAAGCCACTGGGAAAACCCCATTTAATGGATAAGGCCTACACACAAAGCAATAAGCCTGCAGGGCAAGACTCCCACACAAACATCCATATTTCATTTCAAATATAAACCTTTAGAATTGTGAATTATAGGGATTAAATGTGCAATTAATTGAATTTATTTGAACTATTCTTGATTCTTTGAACTACTGTATACAGTCGGGAAAAAAGTATTTAGTCAGCCACCAATTGTGCAAGTTCTCCCACTTAAAAAGATGAGAGAGGCCTGTAATTTTCATCATACGTACACGTCAACTATGACAGACAAATTGAGGAAAAAAAATCCAGAAAATCACATTGTAGGATTTTTAATGAATTTATTTGCAAATTCTGGTGGAAAAAAAGTATTTGGTCACCTACAAACAAGCAATATTTCTGGCTCTCACAGACCTGTAACTTCTTCTTTAAGAGGCTCCTCTGTCCTCCACTCGTTACCTGTATTAATGGCACCTGTTTGAACTTGTTATCAGTATAAAAGACACCTGTCCACAACCTCAAACAGTCACACTCCAAACTCCACTATGGCCAAGACCAAAGAGCTGTCAAAGGACACCAGAAACAAAATTGTAGACCTGCACCAGGCTGGGAAGACTGAATCTGCAATAGGTAAGCAGCTTTGTTTGAAGAAATCAACTGTGGGAGCAATTATTAGGAAATGGAAGACATACAAGACCACTGATAATCTCCCTCGATCTGGGGCTCCACGCAAAATGATCAGAAGAACGGTGAGCAAAAATCCCAGAACCACACGGGGGGACCTAGTGAATAACCTGCTGGGACCAAAGTAACAAAGCCTACCATCAGTAACACACTACGCCGCCAGGGACTCAAATCCTGCAGTGTCAGACGTGTCCCCCTGCTTAAGCCAGTACATGTCCAGGCCCGTCTGAAGTTTGCTAGAGTGCATTTGGATGATCCAGAAGAGGATTGGGAGAATGTCATATGGTCAGATGAAACCAAAATAGAACTTTTTGGTAAAAACTCAACTCGTCGTGTTTGGAGGACAAAGAATGCTGAGTTGCATCCAAAGAACACCATACCTACTGTGAAGCATGGGGGTGGAAACATCATGCTTTGGGGCTGTTTTTCTGCAAAGGGACCAGGACGACTGATCCGTGTAAAGGAAAGAATGAATGGGGCCATGTATCGTGAGATTTTGAGTGAAAACCTCCTTCCATCAGCAAGGGCATTGAAGATGAAACGTGGCTGGGTCTTTCAGCATGACAATGATCCCAAACACACCGCCCGGGCAACGAAGGAGTGGCTTCGTAAGAAGCATTTCAAGGTCCTGGAGTGGCCTAGCCAGTCTCCAGATCTCAACCCCATAGAAAATCTTTGGAGGGAGTTGAAAGTCTGTGTTGCCCAGCGACAGCCCCAAAACATCACTGCTCTAGAGGAGATCTGCATGGAGGAATGGGCCAAAATACCAGCAACAGTGTGTGAAAACCTTGTGAAGACTTACAGAAAACGTTTGACCTGTGTCATTGCCAACAAAGGGTATATAACAAAGTATTGAGAAACTTTTGTTATTGACCAAATACTTATTTTCCACCATAATTTGCTAATAAATTCATAAAAAATCCTACAATGTGATTTTCTGGATTTTTTTTCCTCATTTTGTCTGTCATAGTTGACGTGTACCTATGATGAAAATTACAGGCCTCTCTCATCTTTTTAAGTGGGAGAACTTGCACAATTGGTGGCTGACTAAATACTTTTTTTCCCCACTGTATGTCTACATGCAGGAATGTGTATTTGAATTCATTTACCCTGTAAAAGTCTGATTGTGGGTTTAAAGGCCCTCATATTGACCCTGGGTTTGTATAGGTGAGAGTGTGGAAAAACATGCTACACTTGTCAATGTTTTGTTTTCGCTTTTTTAATCGAAACCAGTTTCACTGATAACACACATGCAATATCACTGTACAAGCAACACCATGGATAGTAGTACTCATTCAAGTCCCCAGATAGTCGTCAAGGATAAGCCAGCTCACACACACAAACACACACACACACGCTCAAGCACACACATGTTCATATTTACATATCACAGTGAATGATGGGTAAAAACGATATGGGGTTACATTGTTCTCTTGTCAAATCAGAACTGAGAATCAGATAGCGGCACAGTCCCAGTGTGTGTGTGTGCGTGTGTGTGTGGTACGATAAGAAACAGATGACAGCCAGGATGTGTGAGAGTGGAAAATAAGACATTTTATCACTGTTTGTGTCAGACTGAGAAGCTCAGATATTGCTATAGGAGTCTTGTATGAGTGCCCTTTGAATTTATAGGAGTGTGATGATGGGTAAAGAAAACGGCTCTGTTTCAAATAAACTCTTCCTGCCAGTCCACTCAAACAGTGCAACGTGTGATTTGTGTTAAATTACATTGTCAAAAGATTAATACATTGGTGATGATAGATACGTTTGGGGTATTGCTTGTATAATACAACCAATATTACTGTCTGTCTGGCTGTTGATATTTATAAATGTAAAACAAAAAGAAAGAAAGGCCACGCTACCAAAAAATAAACCTTCAATTCAAAAAAATAAATACAAACTTTAAAACAGTATACAACATTCTGGCGTTAAGCTTTTTTACAAACTCAATGGAGATTCTGTCTACAAATGTGGGATAATAAATATATTCAGGTTTATTTTTGTAACAGTAAGGAGTTGGTTTATTTGGGATATATCTTAAATTCTCAATCAAAAATGTATTATTATTATTATAAACAGTAAGAAAGATCTTCGCAGAAACTCGATTTATATGTAATACTGCCCATATCACAATAATTACGACACAATAAAATACTGCAAATTATCAAAACTGTACAGAAAAACGTACATATTTCTCTAAAATACATTTTCACTATTAGTGTGAGTTGAGAGAAGTGAAGAGTGCGATGTTTTATTCCACCAATAGGAGAACAGCCTGTCTTCCAGCCAGACTAAGACACACCCACACCGCTCCCACTCAGACATCACCAAACGCTCATCAGCACCAAACGCTGCTTCCTGATCGTTCTGAGATCAACTGCTCATATCCGGGGCGGTTGGCATGTCTCATGGGTCCCTTAACATGGCGGCCAGCCTGGCAGTCTCAGCCAATCACCTCACACCGTCTACGCTCTAGTCGATGGTTACTACAGTATAACTCTACAGACAGGAAGAGAGGAAACTGCACCAGGACCACCCATCCTACAGATCTCTACTGGTCTAACAGCCTAGAGAATCGAAAGAGTTCAAACCAAGAGGCTAATCTTGTTTGCATTTGGCGCCAGGACAAGCAGCAAGCTGGCCACTGACTGAGACTCCTACAGTATATTTCCCTATACTCCAGTGTTGAACTTTATATAGTGTTTCTCAAACTAGAGGATATCACATTTTTCTTTAATCTTTTCTTTGTAAATAATTCCTCAAGCTAAACTACTGCACGGTTACAGGTGTGAGCGTTTGTTTAGTGGCGTAGTCTCTCAGGTCAGGTGGGTGTTTGTTTGTTTGGCAAGGTGTGGGGCGCCGCCCTGGTGGCGGGAGGTCAGGTCAGCAGTGGCGGTAGTGCCTCATTAGGGGGACGATGCAGGATGGGGGACCCGAGAGCTTGAGGAAGGGGTGCTGGAGCAACTCCTGGGCTGTGGCTCGCTGAGACGGCTCTCTAACCAACATCAGGTCCAGGAAGGCCCTCAGAACCGACGATACCTGACAGAGAGAGAGGGAACACATTACTAATTATTTGACTTGGGGGATAACTGACATGAATCCACATTTCTGTAAATGTGCCAATTCAGTCATGAAATAGATTTGCCCTGCTGACCTTGTGTGACTCCTTTAGCCGTGGGGGCAGGTTGTCTCGTATCCTCCTCATGGCCTGTAGAGGGGGTTCGTTAAAGTATGGGGGCTCCCCATCTATCATCTCTATCACCATGATGCCCAACGACCAGATATCCACCTAGCAGGTAGCGTGAATGGTATTATTGTGTTTTTTCACAGCTCACTATATATAACAATAAACTTCACTCACTTTTTAATGTGATATTTGGCAAATGTGTGTCCTTACCTCCGTGCCGTAGGGTAACCGTGAGATTACCTCCGGTGCCATCCAGTAGGGCGTGCCCACCAGAGACTTCCTCTTGGGCACCTCTTGGGACACTTGGGCACAGAAGCCAAAGTCTGACAGCTTGATCTGTGGGAAACAAAACATATTTGGTTGATCATCTGTGTTATCTATGGGAATTTTCGGACCACTTTTGTACATGGGGACACAACAATCCCATATGAAATGATAGATTTTTATCTTAATTGATTTTACATTTTGGATGTGTGTTTCCTTTTTTCGGAAAACATATTTGGGTATGAATTTTAACTTTATTTTCTAAATATTCAAATATTTAACTTCTGTCCATGGAATAATTATAAGGAAAACGTGGGTTGAAGAGGTTTCGTATAAACCATTCTAATCCTGCTTCTATAATCCCCTAACTGTGGGGAGGGGATGGACTGAGTCAGGGCAGGAGTGTGAAGAAGGAATATGCTTTATTCAGCCCAATAAGGTAGTCTGCGGCAATGCGTAAACATGATCCCAGTGCGTACTGGGAACCAAACATACAAGGTAAATATTCCCGGCGATAAAAATAACAAAATGCTCATCTGAGCTAGCGATACCTCCACAATAAACAATCACACACAAAGACAAGGGGGCAGAAGTAACACTTATACAGGTACTGATGAGGGGATATGAACCAGGTGTGTGTAATAAACAAGACAAAACAAATGGAATGATGAGATGAGGAGCGGCAGTGGCTAGAAGGCCGGTGACGACGAACGCCGAAGCCTGCCCGAACAAGGAGAGGAGGCAGCTTCGGAGGAAGTCGTGACATTAACTAGCCAACCATCCATCATGTCCCAGCAGATCGTTAAGAGGTATTAGGCAGGCTTTCATTAATAGGTACCAGGTGCTAATTAATAATTGTTTCTCCTCTCCTCTCTCTCCAGTCCTGCAGTCAGAGGCACTTGAGGAGCTTGTACTGTACTGCATCACTGGCAGTAGCCCAGAAATAGGTAGGCATGTACTGTAACACAGAGGTCAGTGTGAGGGTGTAGGGCAGTGTTTTCATGCAACATTGTGTCATTGACGTCATGTCAGAAACTGGTTGTCATGGTTACTCTACTATGCATGGATAAACCCATGTTTCTAACCACAATACAGGCTTTAGTTGTGTCCCAATAGGTAGTGGGCACAACCCACCAGTGAAGCCAACATCTGGAGTCCTACAATGATAGAAGGCCAGTTAATTCTGTACATGATTAAATAAGTTAGTCCAGAATCTTACCCGTCCATCGCTGGTCAGAAGGATAGAATCACTCTTGATGTCTCTGTGGATGACTCCCTGTATGTGGAGGTACGATAGAGCCCTCAACACCAACACACACACTGTGGCTATCTGCTCCTCATTCATCCTGAAACAAACACACACAGACACACACACACACACGGGTTAGGATGGCGGTAGGAGACAACACACACACACAATATTGCAATTGTGTTTCTCCTCGACGTTCCTATGAACTAAGAAGATTGGAACTTCATGGCCGTGTACTGTCTGTGTGTGTGTGTGTGTCTGAGTCTGTGTCTGTGTGTCTGTGTCTGTGTCTGTGTGTGTCTATGTCTGTGTGTGTGTGTGTGTCTGAGTCTGTGTCTGTGTGTCTGTGTCTGTGTCTGTGTGTGTCTATGTCTGTGTGTGTGTGTGTGTCTGAGTCTGTGTCTGTGTGTCTGTGTGTGTCTATGTCTGTGTGTGTGTGTGCCTGTGTCTGTGTGTGTCTGTCTGTGTGTGTGTGTGTGTCTGTCTGTCTATGTCTGTCTGTGTGTGTGTGTGTGTGTGTGTGTGTCTGTGTGTCTGTGTCTGTGTGTGTCTATGTCTGTGTGTGTGTGTGTCTTTGTCTGTGTCTGTGTGTGTCTATGTCTGTGTGTGTGTGTGTCTGTGTGTGTCTATGTCTGTGTGTGTGTGTGTGTGTGTGTGTGTGTGGGCTGGGGGGTAAACAATACATCTGGCTGAACTCCACAGAACATTAACATGAAGCTCCAGCTGGTGAGAACCTCCCCCATCACACACACACACACACCTGCAGCCCCTCCAGCACTGTCCTCCCTATCCTGTCTCACTCCACAGGAATCAATTGTCTTACCATTTGCTTACAACAAGGAACAACTCTCAACACACACACACGCACTCACGCACACACACACACACACACACACACACATACACACACACACACACACACAAAGACACCCCTCCCATGGTAGATTGCGCCAGGTTTTATTGTCACACATGTATGCATTGAGAATTACAATAGATAAATTAGGCTTTAGGGAATGGAAAAACAATCTAGAGAATGGGAGGTTGATGTGTAGACAAAGGAGAGTGAATGCTTCCCACACATACGCCCACACATCCATACACAAAAACACAAACACGTCCACAAACACACACATACATACACACAAACACGCCCACACACACACATACACACAAACATGCCCCCCCACACACACACATACATACAAACATGTCCACAAACACACACAGACACACGCCCAAAACAAATGATTGCCACAATAGTAAATTAATTTCAAACAGAGAATGAAAAAGAAAGTGTATTGTTTAATGAGGCTGTGAAAGATGCCAAGGGCGTCACACGCATACCCACACACACATCCTGTAGTTCCATTATCTGAGCCTCCTGAGGATCATTGAAATTTGTAGCTAATTGAAATGGCTGAGGAACATGAACACGACACACAAAGAGAGACCAATCTGGAGGGGGAGCGGCGGGGGGTGGGGGGGTGGAGAGAGAGCAAGAGAGAGCGAGAGAAAATTCGGGGGGGGGGGGGGGTACTCACCTGCAGTGGGACTGTTTGTGTGTGTGTTCTCCAATACAGCTCTCCACAGTGATCAGTAATTTGGGCAACAAAAGAGTCGACTGAAATAGATTTGTATCATTCACCTGAGCCAACACGTGAATTCTAGAGCCAACACGTGAATTCTATTACTGAAACCTGTTGCTGACAGTCCTCTGATGGCTATGCATGATGTTAATGACACAAGTGCATGTGCCACTGTCATAGACAGTAGGCTACATGCTTGTTATTATACATGAATTACGATGTCTAATTACTAATCCCCCTCTGGATAAATGATATATGAGGATTTGTTTGTGTTAGTAGGTACAAGTATATTGAATATATACAGATTGCAAAAGTGTGGACTTTATCACTACGATTAGCCCAAATCTTATTATTATCGACACAATTCCTTAGTAAATGGGACCCTCTCTGTTACTTACACACCCAGCAAAGACAATCCAAACAGCTGGTAGGAGAGTGGGACGAAAGAGGGATTACCACCTCCTCACACAACTAACCAAGACTCTTCTCTCCATCTCACGACTTCACGCCGACAGGGACGCCACTGACACAACCGTGTTATTATCACCCAATACGGCGCCACACAATGCTGACACACACCCTGACACACGCCACACAAATGACTATAATTAAAAAAGACCAAGGACACAACGTGTGCTAATCTAAACGACGAGGCGTTGAGGAGAAGACAATAAAACAAGAGGAGAGAGAGAGAGAAAAGTTTGAGAAACAACTAAAACCCCTGAAACCAGATCTGATGGGGGTTGTTGAGGAATGTTATTGTGAATCTGCTTTGGTTATTCACTTCCTGAGATGAATTAGTGGGACAATGATCCAAATGCAATTTTTTCAGACAGTGAATTGAAGACTCATGTTAGCTAATGCTTAGGTAGTCATTGGGAGAGAGGTAAATGGACTTTAGTGGCAGATTATTGGTTACCTCGTGTGAGTGACAATGTCCGTCAGGGCCCCGCCCTCCAGGAACTCCATAACAACCCAGAGTTCGTCTCCGACCAGGTAGCTGTTGTACATGTCAACCACGTTCTCATGGTGATAGTCCCTCATGATCACCACCTAAAAACAAAACAACAAACACAGGTTACATCATAGGCAGACAATATATCAGTAGTAACAAAACGGACCTAGCTGTGCATCAGAAGTTTCTAATCAAAAGGACTCATTCTTTCCCCAAAAATAAGGATATTTATTTAAGAGTTAAACATTATATATTTTTAACAGAGGTAAAAAGTGTGCTAAAAGTAGACTATGCTAAAAGTTTTAAAATGCAATAAAAACCCTTTCTACCAAACAGACAGCATGGCTACCTGCGCTACACAGCCTACCTCTACCTGAGTACCAAACAATCAAGAACAGGTGTGGCCAATCAATTGAAAATGTCGGCCACCAAACCTGCAGAATAGGGTGTGATTGGCAGATCGCTTTACTGAGTGGACATGATTATGAATCATACAATGAAACTGGGCCTGAGTAGAACAGTAAAACATACAACATTCAAATACTAAAACAGTTTGGACGATTAATGGTGTCCATACCAGTGAAGATGTCATCCTCAAGTAGACAGGAATTCTAGCTCGAATCACGTCGCAAACGGTCCACCATTTTACCTAGGACCAGCTCTGATAAGCTAGCTCAAACCTGCTAGTTTCACACTGGTGTAGATCGCCTGCCTGATGTCCTAGAAGCAAACTAAAAACATCTACTTGAAGGGAAGTCTATTCTTTATGTCTACATCAATATTTTACAGTTAAAAAGGCATGTTTCATTCCTCCATACAGGTGTTTAGCTAACGTAACTAGCTAGCATAGGTTTTCATCCTAAATTTGTAGCTAGCTATCAGCTGGCGACATTATATTACAGTGTTAAGAAATAACAACATGTGCATAATTTCTGGAAACAATAGGCATTGACAAAGTTAATGAAAATACAGCCATGCATGTTAGAATGAAATTGAAGGAAGCTAGGTAGTGGCCTAACACTGCGAAGCTAACTAGCTGACTCAACCACAGTTTGCCTAGCCTTCATGTTCAGTTTTACCTAGTTATCTTCTCGCCTATTGATGAATTGTTAACTGACGAATTATTCTCCTGATGTAGGCTACAGTGCCCTCCATAAGTATTGGACACAGATCAAAGTTGTTACTTTTGCAATAGGCTACTCCAAAAACGTGGATTTAAGATTACATTTGAATTAATGAGGATAGTACTGTAAATAATGTAATCTTATTTGGGGGTATTTGTAAGCATATTTTTTACTTTTAAAATATTCTTTTTTTATTGGTTACATTCTACTCCTAACCTCAGATCTAGGTTGAATCTAAATGTCAATGTCTGAAATATATGATGAAATTCATGATGGAATTAATTGAAGAGTTATTTTATAGAATAGCAGGTAGCCTATGCCACAAATTAAATCAATAAATGGCTCTGCAATCTTTCTTTCCAATGTGGATGTTGCTATAGAAGCTTAATGAAAAGGGATTAGATTGGGGTGTTAATAGGATAACATCAAACTTCAAAATAGCACACACACACACACACTAGTATTAATCATTGATGTGGGTGTGAAAATGTGTAAGGACAAGATAATTCATGCTTTGGCTTGATGTCAACACCTTGTTAACATACTGTGAGTCATTCCACCCACTTTATTCAAACAAAGTCTTCCCTCACTGTCTTCATGACATAAATACTGTGTCTGACTACTGAGTAGTAACAGCTCTACAGTGTTGCTACATAGCAGGCAGCAATGGTACAGTAGAGTAGAGCTAAATGGCTTGGCACACTCCTTTCCAAACCCAAAATAACGTCAGCTTGTTGCCTTGGCAACATCTAAATCAGGTTCACTAACACACTGCTCTGATCAAAACATCTGAGTTCCAGAAAAGCCTCTTATGTGAGGTAGCCTGATCTGGGGGCAAAACATTTGCTTTATAGTTTTACTCTGGCACTACTACATCCATGTGAAAATTGAAATGTTGACTAATTAAATGTATAGGCTTACACTATCTTACCTAAATCTTTCAGTCTATTAAAGTATCAAAATGGTTTGGTCTCCACGGAGACAAACCCATGACCCCTAACCCCTAACCCTTGACTTCTCACCTCGTTGAAGAGCAGTTCTCTCCTCTGCTGTTTCCTCAAGTCCATCTTTTTGACGGCCACCTGCTTGCCACTGTGCTTCTCACTGGCAATGCACACGATGCCCGTCGAGCCCTCGCCAATCTTTATGAAACTGTCCAAGTACTCTCTGGGGTCACCTGGGGTCAGAGATGGACAGATCAGAGGCTGATCAATGTTTGCTGCTCTCAGAAAGATATCTACAAAGCTTCTGTTCATTATCTACAAACTAGCAGAAGAACTTACTGTATATTTTAACTCCTGTGATTTGGGATGTACTTGTGTTTCTTTCTTAGGCTTCTCTGTGATTACCTGGGTTGACGACGAGCTGCAGGGCGGCCCTGAACTGTTCGTGGGAGACCCTGGAGGGCTGGGCGTCTGAACTGGAGCCCCAGGAAGGAGGGGGGTAGGCCCCCGGGGGAATGTAGGGGGACGATGGCTGGGAATATGCCCCCTGTAGGAGGGAGGGAGGAGAGACCCGGTTAATGACTCTACTGCACTGTCGGTGGTGATCTTTGCAGTTACACCTGTTTCTCTGAGAGTCATACGTAATTGTAGATCATAATATCTAAACAAGATAGGATTATATCTTAGGACACACATATGCATGCAGTCGTGCAAATATGCACAGTCGCATGCACGCACACACACACGCACACGGTAGACCCACCTGTGGGGTGTATGGCGGGCTGGGCTGTGATGGTGGGTGGTGGTAGGGGGAGGGTTTGTAGTGGTGGAACACAGGGGGGTACTGGAGGTGTCCGGGGGGGTAGCCAGAGGGCTTGCTGTGACTCTGAGGTAGTTTGAGGGGCCCGCGGGGGTACGTGTCAGACCCTGGGACCTGGGGACTCCCGTCCCGTGACTGCCGGTCGTAATCACCCTGCAAGAGATGGAAGACAGACAGAGACAGTGCTAGAAAGACAGCCAATACCCTGAAAACATAAGCTATTTAAGCTAGATGAGCTAATATTAAAATAATACTCTAATAAGCTTATAAGATGACAGCCGGCTCAAAAGTGTGATTTGTATTTAAGTGCAAAACTTTTTCAGTGCAAACTTCATTGAAGCTTGGTTGCCATGCAACATATAGGAAAAACAACCTCACCAAACAACAGTATCCTCTCCTTACTTGCATCATGAATGTAAAACAATCAGAGGTAGTTCTCTCTCTCATCAGTTTTTGTGTTAAATGTCAAATATTGGCAGAAAATCGGCAATCAAAATAAACGTTCTACCACAGTGACCATGTTATTTTTACGAAGACTATTTGATTCTGAGTTCGGACATATAAAGTGTGTATGTGAAAACTATTTATAAGATGCATACTTTGAGTTTTTCCGAAATCACTTCATTCGTGCATAAGAGGGAAGCTTGCGCTACCTGGTGCTGGCACATGTGCATCCATCATACAGCTGCTGTTAGGCCAGAGAACACCCAGATCTGGGGCAGCGCTCCACACCGCCAGGGAACACCCAGATCTGGGGCAGCGCTCCACACCGCCAGGGAACACCCAGATCTGGGGCAGCGCTCCACACCACCAGAGAACACCCAGATCTGGGGCAGTGCTCCACACCTCCAGAGAACACCCAGATCTGGGGCAGCGCTCCACACCGCCAGAGAACACCCAGATCTGGGGCAGCGATTCACACCGTTTTTCTCCTTAGCCTTGTTTACAATACGAGTTAGATAATATAGCCTCGCTATAGTAGACTCTATTGGGGGGTGGGCTATGTTACCCAGTGTGGTTGCAGGGTTTTGCTCCAACCACGCAGTAACGATCAACACTTTGATTAGAAGAATCAGGTGTGTTGCTGCTCGGCTGGAGCAAAACCCTGCAACCACACCCAATGCCCATACTTGCTCTATTTTCTCTCTCTCTCTCTCTCTCTTTGTGTTTCTCCATAACTCAGCTGAGTGGTGATGAATCATAGGTCTAGCTGGGAGAGAGAGAGGTGACAAAGGGACACTTTTCTCCCTGACACTAAACATTATGCACTGTGAGTAAGACCTGGCATTCTGCCTTCTGCACAAGAGGAATCCCAAACAGAAAGCAAGAGTATGATGTGTGTGTATACGGTCGTGCGTCAGTCATTGAGTCCCCCTCCCTTCTCCTTGGTCCTGCCCTTCAGCTTTAGTGTACCAGGTAGTAAATCTAGAAGTGTTTTATGGCATCACCAGTGACCCTGCATAAAGGTGATTAAGACCAGGAGTTAAAGATGGAATCTGTAGTAGGGGAAACAGCGCCACTGTCTGCCCCACGGTCGATGTTATGGTTTTTGTTTTGTTGACGAAGCAGAGGTGGGGAGCGTCCAGCTTTAAGGTACATTGTTTTTACAGTGTTATTAACCACACTGGTTATACAGTATATGTACAGTGTTATTATTAACCACACTGGTTATACAGTATATTTACACTGTTATTATTAACCACACTGGTTATACAGTATATTTACAGTGTTATTATTAACCACACTGGTTATACAGTATATTTACAGTGTTATTAACCACACTGGTTATACAGTATATTTACAGTGTTATTAACCACACTGGTTATACAGTATATTTACAGTGTTATTAACCACACTGGTTATACTGTATATTTACAGTGTTATTAACCACACTGGTTATACAGTATATTTACAGTGTTATTATTAACCACACTGGTTATACAGTATATTTACAGTGTTATTAACCACACTGGTTATACAGTATATTTACAGTGTTATTATTAACCACACTGGTTATACAGTATATTTACAGTGTTATTAACCACACTGGTTATACAGTATATTTACAGTGTTATTAACCACACTGGTTATACTGTATATTTACAGTGTTATTATTAACCACACTGGTTATACAGTATATTTACAGTGTTAGTTACCACACTGGTTATGCAGTATATGTACAGTGTTATTAACCACACTGG